TTAGTTTTTGTCAATTTGATTACTATGTATCTTGGTGCATTTCTCCTTGGGTTTGTGCTGCCTGGGACACTCTGCACTTCCTGGACTTGGGTGGCTATTTCCTTTCCCATGTTAGGGAAGTTTTCAACTATAATTCTCTTCAAATATTTTCTTGGGTCCTTTTTCTCTCTCCTCCTTCTGGGACCCCTATAACATGAATGTTGGTGCATTTAATGTTGTCCCAGATGTCTCTTATGCTGTCTTCATTTCTTTTCATTCTTTTTTTATTTATTCTGTTCTGTAGCAGTTATTTCCACCATTCTGTCTTCCAGGTCACTTATCTGTTCTTTTGCCTCAGTTATTCTGCTATTGATTCCTTCTAGTGTAGTTTTCATTTCAGTTATTGTATTGTTCATCTCTGTTTGTTCTTTAGTTCTTCTAAGTCTTTGTTAAACATTTCTTCCATCTTCTCAATCCTTGCATCCATTCTTTTTCTGAGGTCCTGGATCATCTTCACTATCATTATTCTAAATTCTTTTTCTGGAAGTTTGCCTATCTCCACTTCATTTAGTTGCTTTTCTGGGGTTTTATCTTGTTCCTTCATCTGTGACATAGTCCTCTGCCTTTTCATTTTTTCTATCTTTCTGTGATTGTGGTTTTCGTTCCACAGGCTTTGGGACTGTAGTTCTTCTTGCTTCTGCTGTCTGTCCTTTGGTCAACAGTGGGTATTTTAAATAGCAGATCTTGGCTCAATTATTAATAGGAAAAAATGTTCTAACAATTAGAATATCTGAAAATTGGAAAAAGCTATTTTTCTAAGCTTGTCAATTACAGTCATTAGAAGAATTAAAACATAGGTTGGATTCAGGGTTAGGCCAGCCTATATGACATTTTAAGCAAATTGTGAAAAAGGTACCATATCTACTGGATGAGTTAATTAAAGTTGCTCCCTATGTGTTGATGTATCGCCATGTCAGTTACATGACTTAGTAGAACATGGATTTAGTTTCAGCTACTACTTACCTACTCAGATGGGAAACTTTTGCAATGTCCTCTTATTAGGGATGCTGTAGATCAACCTCCTGAAGTAGGCTTGAGTTTGGAGTTAATGCCCTCTAATATTTATGAGTCTACCTTTCCAAGTGTAATGTGAATATAAATCACTGCTTTAGGTGTTCTGGTCTCCATATAGGCCACATTCAAAGAAGCATAATGTCACAATAAAAAGTAATGTGAGAAGAATTTCAGTCTTTACTAGTGTTTCTCAAAAACTATTAAATGTGATCCAGTTTATAGTGTACAACTTTTCTTAAAATGTTTTTCTTTAACTTATTTCTTCATTTGTGCCTGGCTCAGTTCCCTCTTTTTTCATAATTGCTCCAGAGCAATTTTCCTGTCACACACTAACCCTCTAAAACTCTCTCTGAAACTCCTGTCCATGAGGTTTTCTCTCTTTTGTCTCATTTCTTTCTTCTTCTTCATTTACTCTAGTTTTTCCTCTCCACATTCTTCATATTCTATAATATAAGAGAAAGGAATCATGTTGAAAAAGATAGTATTTTCCTTATATTATGAAAGAATAGGGAGAGTTTGAGCAAGTAAAAACAGAATCTCTCCTTATTTTTCCCACTACTATCTCTAACTCTCTTTCTATCTCTACCTATTTTCCTGATTCTTTAACAGCACAGTCTGGAAACTAGGCTGAGATAGATTAAATGATTCTTTGGTAATTTCAAGAGTAGGGACATTCATATGTTAATACATACTGAGTAGATCCTATGTCTGCAGAAACTTCCATTAGATCCTGAGGAAAGAGGCAAAGCAAGTTATGTGAATAATCCCTACTCACACGGAATTTACAGTCTCATGAGCCAGACTGGTTAAAATCACATGCAATAAATTTCGAGGAAGAATATCAATAGACAGTGAAAATGACTATAGCTGTATACCCATGAATAACCTGATTACCTGGATCTTGGGTGTTCAGCAAGAACAGAACTGTGGGGAAGCCAGGGAAATTTTCATGGAAGAGGTAAGTATTGAGTAAATGTTCAGACAAGGAAAAAACCATGGAACTAGGGAAATTAGTATAAAGATAAACTGAAGAGTCAGTGTGCAGCAGATAGCAAGTATACTAACCTGCTAGAACGCAGGGTCTAGGCAAGGTGGGAAGCCTTTTTTCTCACTGGGAATGCAACTCTCCATCCTTTGAGCGCCCATAACACTCATTGTGTGACTTGATTGTTAGTTTATCCTATTCTGCCTTTTTCTAGTTCCTTCATTAAATAACCCCTAGAAAATAGGCAATATCTTCCCCTCCCCCATCCTTCTATCGCATTTCTCACAGTCTAGCAAAATGTGATTCATCAATAAATAGTTGCTGATTTAAATAGAGTTGATATGTAGTTAGAGGAGGGACAGAGATGTGGAGAAAGGGTCACATGCTTGTGCTAATGAGTTTAAGTGTAGTATTGGAAATCACTGGAAGTTCTAACATGTCAGGGATGTGATCGAAATATTTTAGGAAAAAGAATTTTTCTGTTGTTCTACATGGAAGGTGGAAGATAAGTTCAACTTTTTATTTGCATAGGTCTTACCTGGACATTTGGGAAGAGATATCTTATATAGATGACATGTAGTACTGAACTTTAAGTTAATTTTAGCTATTGAAACTTTTGAATAAATATGTTTACTCTTGAATTTTATGGGCTGGGTAAAGTGCTCTAAGAGTCTCGTAGGTGTGAATAAATTTTTTCACAAAGGATTTTTGGTATTGCTGATTATAATCAATCAATCCTACTCTTGATACCATGCTTTGGAGTGAGATTTTGGCATGTTTTAAATAATGTCTAAGCACATGGAGTTGGAAGAAAACCTGGAGTTGTAATTCCAGATTTATATTTAACAAAATATTTTTAGGAAAGATTTACTGTAACTTTTAGGAGTTTTATTTCTCTTATTGAGAGACTACAGAACTATTTTATCAAACTAATTTCTTTTCCCTCCTGGTCTTAGGATGTTTTAGAGCAATTGCTGGCACTAATATGATTAGGTATTTCTATACAGATTCATCTTCAATTCTAAAAATACTATTCATGTGAATTCTTTGTTACTAACATTGAACACAGATTTTTTTTATATGATTGAAATTATACAAATCATAGCTGTTGATTGGTGATTTCAGTATTTAAGCTTTCAATTATTCTTCTCATTTTGTTAACATGGATTTGAATTTTTCACCTAGATATGTTTAGAAAAAAAATCTTTACTCTTTATTTTGACTATAAAAGTAATAATAGTTCATATACAGCTTCTGTATTTCTTTGTTTATGTAATGAGTAGAATATATAAAACAAAGTTAGATTGCTATTTGTGAAGAAAAAGCAACATAGCATCTCTATTAAAGGTGGATTTCCTTATCTGATGAGTCTACCTCTGACACCAGAAGAATAGGGCTAAAATACTACAACTGAGTCTCTGATGGGACTCCAAATCTAAATTAATGAAAGGTTCATAAATGTAACATATGTAAACAATTGGAAAAACACAAAGCAAATTCTATTCTGTACACATGAATAAAGTGTGCATATATCACTACATATTTAGGATTCATTGGATTTATAAAAAGAGAGGTATTTTTGCACAGATAGAAAGCCAGTGATGTCATTTTGGGAAGACTGAAAGAGTAGATCTTCACATTAATTTAAAAACAATGGGAAAAAAGTACAGCAGGGAACCTTGGAGGTAGCCAAGGTGTCCAAGTACTTCGTTATTCTAAAGACTTCCAGAAAACAGATCTCTACTCTTTGGACAAATAGGCATTAAAAGGGCTCTAGCAAACTCTATACATGGTATTCTTTTGCTTAACTTCACAATTTTAGTTAATATATTGTTTTTTTGGTTTAATTCAAATGGCACAGCTCATAAATGCAGGCTTTTTATTCTGGGGGCTGGGCCTTACAATCATAAAATAAAGGTCTTTGACAGCCTGACTGTTCCATTATAAAATGTAACATCCTTTTTAAAATAGAGAAAGCCCCCAAAAGTCATGTGAAAAGAGGCCAGAATCATAAAAAATATTGGGGACATTTCAAATAGTAGTATGAACCATATGTCATTCCTCAGAAATTTCAGTTACAAGAGCACGAGTGTGAGAATTATATAATTGGAAAAATAGAGAAAACTGAATGAACAATTCAGACAGGAAAGAACTGTTGCCACAAATAATTGTTCATTGTATGCATATTTTCTTAGCCCATGAAATGAAATTTCAGTTTGTTTATGAGAACTGGCTATTCTGTTCCCAGACTGGGCAGTGGCTGTCTGAATGTTTCTGTATGAATGAAAATCTCGTCTCCCAGGCAAAAAAAAATAAAGACATTTAGCAATGCCTCTTACGTTTCTGAATGTTTTAGAACTGGTAGTTGTTTGATATATTGAAAATATACACTCCCCAAAGAAGTAAATCTAGATTCTCTGAATACAGTTTTCATGGCAAACCTCTCTGGCAATTTTATGGTTTTGCATAGCTTGTAGGGAGAGACGGGAATAGCTAAATGCGTCCTGGGTTCATTAGCATAACCCAGCCCACTTCCAACACATGCCCAGAACTACCTCATTAGCTGCTGGGATTTAAGCCAAAGCATAAGACTACAGTGAATATAAGGGGAATTACTGGCAAGAGAACTCTACACCAACTTAACACTGAATCCATTACTTTTCCAAGATGAGAAAAATATTATACTAATAGGGACCATTTCTCCATCTCATTCAAATAAGAATTCAAGGTTTTAGTCTGTATCTTTCATCTAGCATAATTAGCTGTACCATAATAACACATACAGCCTGGCTGCATATATTTAAGTGCTGTCTCTCTCCCTCTTTCTTTTATTGATTTATTTTCTGGATTGCTTTGACATTGTAAACCACAGACGAGTTGGAGCCTGGCATTGAAAGGAGGTGTTCTGCAACGATTTTTTTCTTGTTTAAAGAAGTTTACTTCTACAAGAGGTAATCTGAAAATGACAGGGGCAAAGAGAAAAAAGAAAATTGTGCTCTGGAGCAAGATGCATATGCCCCATTGTGAAGACTTTAAACAGTGGTGTAGAAGGCGGCTACCTATTTTGGAATGGGCAACACATTATAATCTGAAAGAAAACTTGCTTCCAGACACTGTGTCTGGGATAATGCTGGCAGTTCAACAGGTGACACAAGGTAATGTACTGCATTTGATTTTCCTGTTTTATGCAGAATAGATATCACTTTGCTTTCTTGGAAGAGTATTGTGACCTAAGATCTACTAATGAAATGTATTTTAATTAACTTTGGGGGAATAAACACATTGAATATCTGTATACAAATGTTTTCCTAGTTGTCTTTTTTTTTTTTTTGCTATTTTTTGATACCTAATAAGCATCAAACCAAATTTTTAATGGCATTATATATTTGCAATGTTAAAATTCATACTATATGAGTAAAGATCAATAATTTCAGTAATTGTGGGAGAATGAGTTTTTATAGTTTGACCTTGCTGATACAGCTTCCTACTTAAGCTGAATCAAGCTATAAAATATCTCCTGGCTTGAACAAGTCATTTGTAAACCTAATTAGCAGCATACAATTACCTTTGTAGTCTTGAGAGTTGCTATAAGCAAGGAGTAGACCTTTCTGTACATAAAGGAGGCTCTTTGCCAAGATCATTATTTGCAAAGAGAATCCTGTTTGTCCTTAGAGCTTAAGTTTTTCACATGCCGATTTAATTCTGTATCACATTACATACTGTTTGTTTCTCAATACGAAATTTAAACTGGTGAGAAGTCTGATTTTAACTTTCCCAAAGCAGATTATAAATGATATTCTGGATTTAGATAGATGTTTCTCTTGGTGAAAGCTCTTAGGTAACTAGTGTGCATACAGTGTATGATTATGTATGTGTTTTTTGTGTGTGTATTTTCCTGAAAGGTATATTCATTGTATTTTTAAAAATTAATTCAGGTAATAATTTTCTACCTGTAGCAAGAAAAGGAACTGATTTTTTCAGCCTTGAGAATTTGTAAACTATTCCTTGGCACAGACTCTGTAGATTTATATTTTTTTGCAGTTTTACTACATCCCTGGCTTGAGCTATTATTCATACCGTTAAATTATAAGCACTTTTCTAATTGAATTATTCTGTAGCTGGAACAAACTGGTTTATGTGTTTCTGTTTTTAGTGTGATTAGGAACATCTGCACTGGTGGCTTTACTTTAAGATCCATAATACTATCATACTTTCTGGGATTCCATTTCCCTGAATAGTCTTCTATGATATTTTTAATGACCATTTTGCCAAAAACAAAGCATAGTAGTCTTTCATAAAAATGCAAAGTAAATAGCAGGTTAACGCATTTTTTTAGGATTGTATTTATTGAATTTTAAATTCGAAATGAAACACTACCATGGACTTTGAAACTAAGGTGATGAGCTTACAAGGACTTTTTCACCAGGTAGTTTCAGTATATTTTATAAATTTATTTTGCTTTAATTTGTTGTAAAGTGAAAGAAAAATATATTTCTAAAACTAAATATTTTTCATCTTTGTTAAATATCAGGTTAATAAGAAAATTTGGGGATATGATAAAGATAGCTGTGATACATCATTAGCATTATCATTTATGTGCCTTTGGTAGTTAATTGTATGGCTTTTCTTTGGATATAAATATTGAGGGGTTTTGTTTTATGAGTCATGCATTTCACTGGTTATGAAGAAATATGTTACCAGCCCCCACTGATGAGAAGCACAAAGCTTACTCAGCCCTTGTGTCTTGGAAGTTATGGATCTGGCTCTTGATTCTCTTGGAAGGCTCCCAGTGATTGGGCAAGGAAGCTACACTGCTAGAAAGAACTTAAAGGTTTTTGTTGGTGTATGGACAGACTAATCCTTCTAAAAGTACTTTAAAAACAATTCTCTCAAACTTTCTCATGCTTACCCACTATGGGTAAATATCATAAGCTACCATTTGTTGTAAGGGGCATTGTTGTAAATGCCTTATATACATTATCTTACCCTATCACAACAAAATCCCAAATGATAGCAGTCCTCCATTTTCCATATGAGAAAGTGGAAGCTTAGACAAGTAAATAATTTTCCCTGAACTTCATGCCTGATAAGTGATAGAGTCAGGACTTGATTCCAAAGCTAACACTCAACATTTTATGCTTTATACTCTACACTGCCAAAATAACTAGACTTTTTCATAATACCAATGTTATTAGTAATAGAAGGCATTTCTTTGGAAAGGTGCAAATATCCTTTCCTTTAAATTACCTTTGCATTTAGGTTTCACCCCTGTAGTTTTTAGACTCAAAGGCAGAGTGACAAGGGAAATAACTACAGTAGAACATGGAGTAAGGAAGGCACTTAGATATCATTACCTGTTATTCATGTGAATACAGTATTGGCAATCATTATCAACTCCATTTCTTTAGGAAAAATTAGAAGAAAGAAGGGGTAATTTTTGCTTTTGCATCATAATGCAAACAATAGAAACAAAGATCTGATTTTACTCTACCAGTCTTTGAAGGAGCTTTTCAGTTATTCAACATAGTTGGATTACACAAAATTGTTGAATTCAATGTTTTTTAACCTACAAATACAAAAAATTATATAATTCAATCCAGTAGTTGTTTTTAATTCTTCTTTCTCTAGAAATGCATTTAAGATTAAGGTTAAAGGAAACTAACATTTGAGTCTTTTCTATATGTCAAATACCAAGGAGCCATTTTAAATTACTTTATTAAAGATTTCCTAGTTGTTAAATATAGACACTTGTCAGTCATCATCATAATTGATTCCTCTGTAGTATTTTCTGTGTTGACTATAGCCTTTCTAAAACCATTTCTTCTCTTGGGTTTTAGACACTGTTCTTCTGTTTACATTCTGCTACCTCTCTGGCCTTCTCTTATTATGAGCCTTTGCAGATTTTGCTTCCTACTTTATCTACCCATTAAACATTAGTGTCCTGGAGACTCAAACACTAGGCCTTCTTCTCTGAAAATGAATGCCTTAGGCTATTTCATCTGCATCAGAGGCTCTAAACACCTTAACTGTACTATTGAAACTTTCTTCTCAACCCGAGATCCACGTCTTCAACTATACAAACCTAGAATCTCCTAAAAGCACTTCAAATGCAACGCTAGTCTTCTAAAAGAAACAAACTGAATGATGCCACCATCCTAACCAGAATTATAATAATAAATAATAATAACAGTAATTTTTAGACACAAAAGAACACTTGACATATATACAAAACTGAGGCTTATAGAGAATAAATAACTTGCTTAAAGTCACACAGTAGATGAGTTAGAAGAGATAGGATTTTAACCCAAGTGGTCTGGCTCCAGGGACTATGTTCTCACCTTTGTACCAGACTACCTCTCACAGAGTCTCAAGTCATTCTCAACTCTTCCCTCTCTTTGGCTACTCTACCATCTAGTGTACAATCAACCACGAGGTTCTGTTGTTTCTATTCCCTAAATATCTTTCCAAACTAGTAGTCTTACTTCATGTTCCCGGCTATTGTCCTAGTTCACTGACCTACTGAAATCATCATCTTGTGGGTCTTCATTCTCTACTCTATCTCCTCCTGTAGGCCATTCCATACTGTAGCTGGAATGATTATAAAAATCTAAACATCAATTCCCTGTTCAGAATTCTTCAGTGACCCTCTGTTTCCTCTAGGATAAAAGCCCGATTCTTCAGAATAATCTATTAGATCATTACCAATCTGGGCCTCTTAATGCAAAGTTCTACTTAAAGAGATCTTTCCTCTGAGAATCCCTCCTAATCTCCTGGGAAAGATGTATGTTTTCTTACCTCCTACTCCCTTTGTACTTTTTACATATCTCTATGATAGGCCTTAACAGATTGCACTGTAATCTTTTGGTACAACTCTTTATGCACTGGTGGGTAAGCTTTGGAAAGAATGTCTTAATCTTTATATTTTTTCCGACTTGTGCCTGGTGCATTGACATAGGTTTTCAGTAACATAGGTTTTCAGTAAACGTTTCTCCATATCATTAAATAAACAATTTAGCTCCTGAAGCCTCTGATTGTTCTATGGTAACATGCTGCCACTCTAGGAAGGAAATTAAATTTAAATTAATTCTTATGTTTTCAAAATAAATGTAATAAAGATATCGATAGTAAAAATTACATAAAAATGTGAGTAATTAATTTCTTCCAATTTCCCTACTTCCCTGAATTTATAAACTTATAGCCCACCAGACAAACCTGGTAAAAGATTTGTCTGTGTTTCCTTCGTCCCAGTGTTTAATTTTTTCTCCAACATTAACCCATCTGTATAGTTCATATGAAAATCTAGGTGCCTGGCTTCTCTTGAAAAAGGGAAATACATGGCCATAAGAGGCCCATGTTCCCATGTGGTGAAAACCTGCTGGCTCCCCCTGTGGACAGGGCATGTGCTTTGTATTTTGCTACAGTTTCCACCATTCACACATCTGCTGCCACCCTTCCTCCTAGTATCCCTATTATCTGCCTATCCCTATGAGTGTCTGAATTTGTATCCCCTGCCAAGACACTTTCTAACATGTTTTGTTGAAACGCCTTGAACTCATTCTTGAATAAAACCTTTAAGAGAGAATACGTAAGACTAGGCTCTTAACTTAAATCTGCACAACTTTTAGGTCTGTGGACTTGCATGAATATATTCTAATATACTTCATTTCTTTTTTTGTTTTTCTTTTGTTTTTCTTTATTTTTTTTTCTTTCTATGTTTTTTTCCTTTTTTCTTTTTCAAAGAGAAGGAGCTGGGCCCCACCGCAGGCAGGCGCACCCATCCGGGGAAGGCGAGGGGTTCTGCCCACATGCTCTGGCACTCGCCACAGTGGCCACTGTGCTTGGGAGGGGCAGCAGCTGGGGGGTCCGGTACCCCAAGGCTCCCTCTCGGATAGCTAGAGAAGGCTTTCTCACCGAGGGCGCGTCATCCCCCACCCATCGTCTTGCCTTCGGGCCCACGGAGGCGCTCCAAGAGCCGCCAGTCCTTGACTGGGCGGAGGAGCGGGGGCTGCTGCAGTATGGGTAAGCACAAGGTCCACAGGAGCGTTCATGGTCAGGGCCGGGGCACGACCTGTGCTGCTCTCAGTCTCTTCCAGCGGGCTCTTGAAGCGGGGAGCACGCCCAAGAAGTGTGACAGCCTCCCCTCTCACAGGCCCTG